CGAGGCCGGCTGTCAATTTTCTTACTCGTTTTTCTTAAAGGGTTGTGTTTCTTGGTGGTTTTATTATATCTCTTTGTTAATTATATTGTGAGAATGGTGCAAGAGTGAAAAGAGGCAAGATCAAAGAGAGTGAGAGAGAAGATAGATCTGTACTATTTCTCCCAAATTTTCATAATGAATTTCTCATTGTAGCATGGCTCCGTAGTCTTTCATAGATTTCAAAATTTTTCACATCAAATACTAATATAATTTCTTTCCACTACATTTTCTCTTTCTTATCTGTATTCGCTCCATGATTTACTTCCCAACTATTTTCATCAGCCACAAATACAAATCCAAACTACCCACCATCATAGAACAATGATGCAAAGTAAGCAAATAAACTTGTTTAGTTATTGAATGAATTCTTCCTAGATTTTCTCCTGTAGTAAGGATTACTAATCCTAAGTCATCAAATGAAAAGACAAAAACAAACATATCTAAGATATAATAAGCATGCCAATATCACTTTAAAAACCCCATTTGGCAGATACGGAAGAAGTTCTATTGTAAGAGGAAACCTTTAGGGCTTCGATAAGCTGTATTAAAAACAATTTTTTGGGGACATTTAAATCATTTAAGGCAAATTCACACACACAACGCATACACAAAGATTCGAACCCAAGACCTCTCTTAGTTGGGAACAATTATTAGGTCAGGTGACCTGACGTAGCTCTACGTTCGGACGCTAATAATATGTCGCCACGTGCTCTTACTCTTTACCGCGCGGCCCGACGACCTGACTCGGGATTGTTATGTTCGCATATTGCTCTAGGTATTGCTCGGTATTACTCGGTATTGCGAGGTATTGCTTGGCAATAACGAGAAATATCGCTCTATCATGACCAATACTGAGCAATACCGAGAAATACATTTTCTCAGTATTGCTCGGTATTACTCGGAATTGGTCTTCGCAGAATGGTATTTCTCGTTATTGCCGAGCAAAATCGATCAATACCTAGCAATACCGAGTAATACCTAGCAATACACGAACAGAGCAATCCCGGCTCCGTTCCGGGTCGGGGTGTCGGGCTGCGCGGTAAATAATGAGAACACGTGACACTATTTTACTGACGTCCGAACATAGAGCTACGTCAGGTGACAGGACCAAATAAAAGTTCCTTAGTTGGAAGCCTAAGCTCTCAACTTATAGTTCAAGGTGAGCTGTGTTGTATTAAATTATTTTCAGTGAGAAAGTAGATGGCCTATAAATAAATAAGAAACAAAGCTTTTGCATGTACTATATTAGTTGTCATTTACTGATATTGGAAACCAGCTAATAACGAATAGGCTCCTGCATTAGTTGATAGAGAGGGAATGAATAACTTATCATATAATATGCCAAAGGTTCAAATTTGGCATTTTTGATAATATAATTAATATGAAAAGGAAACTAAATGACCGAAGGTTTTGCCTCAACGGCCTCTCACGAGAAGAACTTATATTAATTGATTTGGTTATTTTATTTTATTTTATATTATATTAATTAGTGGTTGTTTGTTTAAATTGACTTTTTAAAATAATATTATTGAGATATTAGCTTAATTCAGGCTGATAATTAGTTGGACCTAATATCAGAAATAAACATTAGTAAAGATTTGTTTCTAAAACTTTCTTTCAAAATTATTGATTGATATTGACATTCTAAGTTACTTTCTTTTGGGGGTTGATTAACACTTCCGAATTTGTGTTAAAATATTTGTTTATTTTTCTCTTAAAAGCTGTCTTTTCCCTTACCATTGTTATAAACAAATTGGAGAAAATTCTCAGAATTGTAAGAAAACTCTTGTGCTGTTGGAAAGATCTTTGCTTTCCTTCTGATATAGGAGGGTTAGATTTAGAAGCATTTGTGATTGCGTCGAAGGTTTTTTTTTTTTTCCTTCAAACAAATGCCAAATCTGCTATGGGTGAGGATAAGTTGAATACTGATGGGAGATTGGGAGTTATACAAGTCGTGATGGAGATGAAGAAGGTGCTTTTAGAGATGATTGAGGCGAGGTGATTCTTGCTTTTTCTCTACCTTTGGGCCAAGTTTGTGCTAGGGGTGTCAATATTTGACACGACACGAAAATCAGACTTGAATTCTACCCGGAAATTTTGGGTTTCGACCCAACCCGATTTCAAAACGGGTCAGGTTCGGGTTCCAGAATTCGACCCATTTGAAAAAGGGTCGAGTTCGAGTTGACTCGTCGGGTTGCAAGGTCAACCCGCTCGCGCCCACCCACGCGTACCCGCTCGCGCTCGAGGGTGCCGCACGCACCCGCTCGTGCCCGCCCACGCGCGCTCGCACCCGCCCGCGAGCACCCATGCGCAGCCTCTCGCGCTCGCACATTTCGTGTTGGGTCGGGTCCGCATTTCCGACCCGTTTACATAGCCGTGTCGGATTAGGGTGATCCGTTTGAACCCGAGTCAGTTCCAGGTTCGACCCGAACCCGACCTGTGACCCGAAATTGACACCCCTAGTGTGTGCTTTTCAAGCTGAAAATAAAGCTTTGCGACATTGTTCGGAATTGTTTGCTGCCCATGGCTTTAGAAAGATTATTGTTTTTTTTTAATGATTTAAGAATAGTTATATTCCTTTTTTCTTTTCTGAATGTTAGATTCAGCTATATTTTTCAGTGAAGAGAATGGATCTACAGATTATCTTGCTAAATTGGGTGCTTGATTGAATGATCAGAAGGTGTTTTATGTTCTTGATTGCCGTTTAAGCTGGGAAGTCTTACCAGGGTGGATGCTTAGGAGTAGGAGCGCAAACGAGTCGACTTAAGTTGGATATTAGTCTAATTCAGTCAAACTAGTTTAATCTTTATTGAGATCGAGCTAGAGCTCGACTTTAACTTGAGCTCATTTACTGGGCTCAAACTTAGCTCGTTTGAAAATTATTATACTCGAGCTCGGCTCGATTACTCAAACAAATTTGTAAAGCTCGAGCTTGAATTGAGAAATAATACAAAATGTCTAGCATGTTTTTATTATATTATTCTTAAATTAATTTTGAAATATATCTTAATTTAAACGAGCAGTTCAATAAACTAACGAGCCAAGACAGGTTGAGCTCGAGTTTAAACTCGTGGCTCGATTAGCTCTTTTCATAAGCTAGTTAATCAGTCGCATTTGAGTCAGCTCGACGCTCACCCTCATCCCAGCTAGAGAACTTCCTTCATTTATATTTTGAACATTTCTTTATTGTGACTTAATAAATCTTCTACCTTGCTTTGAGAATGTGTGGATTGTGTGTAAAATATAGGATGTCTGTTTTATGTTTTTTTTCTCTTTAGTTCATATTCTTATGAGATAAAATGAAGCCTTTTTTTTGAGACTTAATGATTTTTTAAAATTATTTCTACCTCTATAAACATTGATCTCCATTTGATAAAACATAAAATTTAATGATCTAACTTTACGCCCCATATATAAAGAAATTATTTTGTGCGTAGACTGGACATAGAATGTCATCCGGAGACCAACCAAGTAGTACCGAGCACATGGATGATGTGGCACATTCTGGTTGATCTCCGAATGGCGTTCGACGTTTACACAAAATAATTAATCACATATATAAGACCATGCTTATTCAATTTCTTATAAAAATATTGATTATGTTATAGATTTTATTTTATGAATTAGTATATATATAAAGGATGGTCTTTTCGCCGGACATAATGGCCGTAAAGGATTCATGTAGCCGACCCCACATAGTGGGATAAAGTCTTGATGTGTTGTTGTTGTATATATAAAGTAAAAATAAAAAGGGAAGCCTCCTTCAATTTCTATGATTATAAATTCATATTATTATCTTTTTCATTGTTATGCAATTTGTTCTTCATGATTGGGACATTATAAAAAAAAATGAACGTAATTGAGATGTCCAGAATAAAATAAATAAATTATATATATAATAGCTACAGGTGTTTCAGCTGCTTAACCCCAAAATAAATAAAAGCATTGCCAAGTGTGGCTAGCTTTGGCATTTTTACTTTAATATATAATTACTTAGGATATTTGATTATAACTTCTTAGGATAACCTCGCAAGAGAGTCTAGACTTTTTCTTTTATATTTTTGATATAATTTTATTCATCATATCAGAAGTTACAACATTTTTATCGGAAGTAACTAGGGGAGTTTGCTAGCTATGAAGGTACCTCACCACCTGGGATTCTTCGTTGTTATTCGCCTTCGCTCCTTGGACGACATTCCCTTCCGATCGGATCAAAGTTTCAACATTTTGATCTTAATAACGACAGGAGTTCACTCGCTGGCTCCTTCGTTGATGTTCGATGTCGCTCCTTGGACGACGTTTCCTTTCGATCGGATCAGAAGTTGCAACATTTTGATCAGAAGTAACAACGAGAGTTCGCTCGCTGGCTCCTTCGTTGTTGTTTTACTCGCTCCTTGGATGACGTTCCATTATGGTCGGATCAGAAGTTGCAACATTTTGAATGGAAGCAACAGCGGGAGTTCGCGTTGCTGTTCAACTTTGTTCCTTGAACGACATTCCCTTCCCATCAGACGGGAGTTCGCTCACTGGCTCCTTCGTTGTTGTTCGAGTTCGCTAGCTGTGAAGGATTCCGGATCAAAATCGGGTCAATTTCGAGTTTTCGAGTTAACCCAAATACTACCCGAAATTAAAAATGGGTCGAAAATAAGGATCTGAACCCGACCCGTTTCGGGTTCGAGTTGACTCGAACCTAAAATTTTCGTATCGAATTTGAGTCAAATTTTTAAGTCGTGTTAAATATTGAGACTCCTAATTTATTTTACCAATTCACGCATGTGTGAGAAGAGTTTTAAGAGAGAGAAGAACGAGAGATGCAAAGTTGATCGAGTGAATTTGGAGTTTTTTTTGGGGGTCCATAATTCGAGCTAATTTATGCCGATTTTATTAATATTTATATTTCGATTCTCATCATTCTATGTAAATGAGTAAATAAATGAGCGGGGTGGGTGCGAGCGGCCCAAGAAGAGTGACGATAAGCAATTGTTCCGCTGCTTTGTAGGCGAGTAGAACAGAGGAACTGCTCCTGTGCTCTATTTTCTCTTCTTCCCTCTACCATCTCGTGAAAGCGGACATTTTGGGCAAATATCCAGGAAGATTCGACCCTGCACCACGTCAGAATCATCTCCCGCCTTTTACTACCTCTTCTTTTTGCCGCCCATGAGCTGTCCTGATTAACTCATTATCCATCCGCCTCAAATCTCTTTCCACTAGCCCAGACGTCCATCTTCTGTCCCTCCAACTCGCGCATTCGAAGTGTACTCGCTCGGGTTTTGAATCGAATCAAAGATGCCTTCTTGGTGGAAGGGGAAGTCGAAGGGGAAGTCGAAGTCTTTGGCGGCGTCTGAACCGAGCCTGAGTAGCCGGCCGGATTGGGGGGAGGAGGAGGGGGAGGAGGAGGATAAAGGGGAGTGCTCGTCAACTTCGAAGAATCGACGGGAGGCGAGGAAGGAGAAGGCCAACAGTTTCGATGGGGTTCTTCTGGGGAAGAAAACTAAGGAGGCCGTCTCTGGTGGCCGCTCCGGGGATTCGGGGAGTACCTTCGCGTTTGGACATCCTCTGCCGCTCCCGTCAGGGTCCTCACCGTTGCCCTCTCTGCCGCTGGCGGATTCCGGGATAGTGACAGCATCCGGCTCGGCGTCCTATTCCAGTGTTAGTTCTTCGGGCTCCTCTGAAGACACTCCCGATCTTGGTTTCTACAGGTATTTCGATCTCATTCCTCCGCTTCCTATGATGGTTTTTACTGAAGAACGGGATTTAGCCCCGTGAAGGCTGGCGATCATGGCTTGTTTAATAACATGGGGAAATTGTGGGATTATGCGTTGTTCGAGACCTCTCTGCTGTATTTAATTCAAAAATGCTCCATTTTGCTTTTAGCACTGCGTGGTTATGCAAGTATTTAAACGTTTATGCTGGTTGCACTCTTGACTGAGAGACGTGGCTTTTATACAAACATGAAAGTTGTGAACTTTTTATCAGTATTAGCTGTTCTGATCGTTGCGCATAGAGTTTTAAAAAAATTTTATTTTTTCATTCCCTGTTTTTTTTCCTTGGATTCTGCTCTTTATTTTCTCTTTGAAATCAATTTATCAATTTCCTCATTTCACGTTTGGTGTTTTTATTGCTTGTCCTCTCCATCCAGCATTGTTTTCTTGTGAATCACGGAAGTCTTGTGGAAATCCATCTAAGAGTAGCCATCTTTCATGAAAACTACTGTATTCTTCTCTTGCTTAATCCATGAAGAACTGCTCTGCAACCAGTACAAACGTGAAAAAACTCTTATATAATTAGTCCTGTTTTGATTTATGTTTCCATCCCATCCTTGCTTCTCCAGGTTATCGAACACCATAAACATGGGAAGAAACAGAAATCTGTCAACAATTGAAAGGTGTCGTTTCTCATGCAGTCCAGTTTTGGAGCATCCCAGAAGCTTTGAGATACCATTATCTCCTAGAAAGGAAATCCAGTCTTCTGGTTTAAGCTACCCGGAAACCATGTTTAATCCGAGGACAGTGAGTTGTGCACCTAGTTCGCGCGGGTCTCCAATTTCATTATCTCCTGTACATCCAATTTCCCCCCTGCGCGTCCATCCAGGATCACCTTCAGGATGGCAAGAAGAATTGAAAAGCCCTCCTCATCCATTGCCTCTGCCTCCAAACTCTCCTGTCTCTCCATCTTCACTTTCTTCTCGTTCATCTCAAACGCAATGGAAGAAGGGAAAGTTATTAGGAAGAGGAACATTTGGACATGTCTATCTTGGATTCAACAGGTAATTGTTTCTTTCATCATTACCTTACCATCTTTATAAGTTGGCTTCTTCAGCATTTTCAGCAGGTTGCAAATTTAATAATCCCAATAAGCTTTGGATTTTGGTTTGTATTTTACATTGGCCATTTTATGGATGAAGAAGTTGTTTGCATGTTTTACAGTGAAAGTGGGCAAATGTGTGCTGTTAAAGAGGTCAAAGTCATATCTGATGATTCCATTTCTAGAGAATCGCTCAAGCAACTAAATCAGGTGATCTTCTTATTTTTTTCCCTCTAATTATTAAAAAGTTAATTTTAATAAGCATTTTTTCAATATAAAACTTTTTTTTTTGGCAATGATCTTTTGGCTATGAATGGTTGTGATATGTTTCAAGTGTTGATTTTGTAAGCATCATTAATTTCCAGGAAATAAATTTGCTCCGTCAGCTCTCACATCCAAACATTGTGCAGTACTATGGCAGTGAACTGGTATTTTTCTTAATCAGTCATCTACCTTTTTTTTTTTTGGTTAATTGCTTCTGCTACTCCAATTCTTCGTGATATCACTTGCCAGTGATTAAAAAGAAAGAAAGAAAGAACGATGATGAAATTTGTTGTGCAACTTACTTGGAAAGGCATATCAACTTCTTTGTAAAAGAACGATTGTTAAGCCTCTTACAATCATTTTTTGAGCTGTTAGGAGAATTTTGACGCAATGTTCTGAAGCTGTTCATGAAGTGTTGATTATATTTAATTGGTTTTGTATCTCACTTGTTTGTTATCTTACACTGATGAATTGGGAACTATTTGTACTTGGATGTGATGTATTCAAATTAGCTTATGCATTTCTTATAATGTTGATCCTTGAAATAATTAATATTTGTGCGCACTTGTCTTCTTGAAGATGCTTTGACATAGTTTTGCAGTTTGATTTTACAAAAGCTTCATATGTTATTGTGTTAAGATTTTATGTCTATGGTGTTCCATTCTAATTAATAAAGTGATGAAAAATAGAGTGCATTGTGGAAATTGAAAATATTAAATTAATGTCTTGGAGTCGAGCAACTATGCCCCGATCTATTAGGGCTTTAACCTTCTACTTGCAGAATTTGGACCAAGTTTGTGATAGGAATCCGATCTCCACAAAGTAAAAAACAGCAAAACTAAAGAGAAAATGCAGCATAAATCAGTGAGAAAGAATGAAATTATGGGTTAATTTTATTGACATCGACACCACAAATCAAGATACAAGTTATTCTACTATTCAAGAGGTAGATCGAGTCTCCGCAAACTCTAGGTGCCCCTAGGAATAACTCCAAAGAAAATTACTGCAAAAAATAAAATCACATAATAAAAATAAAACAACATAATCAATTCTAAATAAACCTTTATAATTCCATCCCAAAATTGAATTTAAATCAGTCATCTTTTCCTAAATAAACCTTCCTAATTTTCTCTCAAATATAAATTCAAATTAGCCCCGTTTCTCTAAATAAAATTTTCTAATTCTCTCACAATTTTGGTTTTCTATGATTAGTAATTAAAGGTAGAATTAACCCCCTTTGAGCTCCCCCTCTCTCCTTGCCCCTCGACCACACTAATGGGGCCCATAGGGCTCTTCCACCCGCCAGCTAGACCGGCCCCCTTGCTAGGGCCGGGTTGGTTGGCTAGACCGGCTTAGCCAGTCCATCAATACTCCCCTCTTAAAGCGTCACTTTGTCCTCAAGGTGGAACAAAGGAAACTGTTGTTGAATCATCTAATACAGTTCTCATGTTGCTTTATAGTCAGAGAGATCCTTCTACTCGATCAACACTTCTCTAGCTCCTTTGGTTGTTGAGCAAACTTCTCTTACTTTCCATTGGCTCCAAGATCACTTCCTTTTCTTCTGTCAAGGTCATCGACAACATTGTTGATGAACTGTGATCGCCAATAACTTTCCTCAGCTTGGACACATGGAATACTACGTGTATGGTGGAAGTAGGGGGTAGTTGCAAACAATAAACCACGGTATTAATCCTCTCCACAACCTCATAAGGCCTATAGTATCGTGGAGATAACATTTTAATTCTTCTTCAAGCTAAAATCTTTTATTTGTAGGGTCGAATCTTCAAATACACTTTATCACCCACCTCAAACTGCACATCCCTTATATTCCCGTTAGTTTGCTACTTCATAATTTGTTGTGTCTTCAGTAGATGCCCTTTTATCTCTTTCAATATCCTATCCCGTTCCTCCAACTATTGTTTCACTAATGAAACTGGAGTGCTCTTGGTCCCGTAGTATACTAGGTGAGAAGTGTTATATCCCGAACCAGATTGGTTCGGTCCGTGATTTCTCGCGCTCACGCAAGCCAGCCGACCCTTCTCCCGCTCCTCCTGTATCACGAACGAACCGCCCTTGCCTAGTTTCTCCCTCCAAATCGTCATTTCTTCCCATATTTGACAGATTCTTCCGCCTCGTTGCCTCTCTCTCTCACCATTTAAGGAGAATTGGAATCTAGGGCATCATTTTTCTCCTCTTTTCTCCCTCGTAGTAGCCACCGAAGGCCCTCCTCCTCCCTCTCGCAGCTGTCGTTTGATTGATCAATGAAATCACTAAGCATCTTCTTCACAATCTTCTCTTTCTCCTTCAATAGTAAGCTTCTTCATCTTCTCTTCTCTCCTCCCTCTCTTTGATTGTCTTCTTTGTGTTTATCAAGTTGTATAGTCCTGTTTCCTTCTCTCATTTAATTAGTTTTAGTTTAGTGGAGATTTTATTTCAATTTCATTAATTTTATTAGTTTAGATTTTATGTTATATCCCGACCCGAATAAGTTTGGTCTAGGATTTCTCACGCTCTCAAAAGCCAGCCAACCCTCCACTCGCTCCTCCTTCGCTCGAATCGCGAACGAACTGCACTTGCCCACCGTCTCTCCCTCCAAATTTCGATTCGGGCGAAGGAGCGAGAGGAGGGTCGGCCGGTTTGCGTGAGCGGGAGAAATCCTGGACCAAATCGGTCCAGGTTGCCATATAATAAGGAGGGTCTCTGCCATAAATGATTTTGAAGGGTGTAGTATGTGTTGCACTATGGTAGGATGTATTGTACTAGTACTCACCCAAGATAACTACTTCACCCAGGTCTTGAGTGTTTCTATACAAAACATCTCAAATAAGTCTCAACACTCCCATTCACCACCTCGGTTTGCCTATCAGTCTCTGGATGGAATGTTGTACACGTCTTCAAAATGATCTCCTGCATCATGAATAGCTCTCTCCAGAAGTGGTTCATGAGCACCTTGTCTCTATCTAACACTATGGACTCTGAAATTCTATGTAGACAGATCGTCTCTCGAATAAATGCTGCTGGCACTAAAACCGCCGTGTATGGGTATCGCAAGAAAATGCAGTGAGCATACTTGCTCAATCTATCCACTATTACCAAAATCACTTAAAACGCCTTCGATTTTGGTAGGTCTTCAATGAAATTCATCGTTATCTCTTCCAACACCTTCTCGGGCAGCGCTAGAGGTTGTAAAAGTCCTCATGGAGCCATTGCCATATATTTGTGCTTTTGATAGATATCGCAGCTGGTCGCTATCTCCTCTACATCTTTCTGCATTCCAACCCAATACATTTATGCTGTCAACCTATGATAGGTCTTTTGTATCCATGAGTGCCCTCCTATGGTACTATCATAAAACTCCCGCAGCAAGTAGGGTACATATGGCGACATCCTTGGTATCATTATTCACCCATGGTATAACAGTCTCTGATCGACTAAGGTATAACGTGGATGGCTATCCATGTTCCCCAATAGATCTCTCATAATTTTCTCCAATCCTTTATCTTGCTGACTTTCCCTTCTCAATGCCGCTCAGTCCACAACATAGAGAATATACAATGCCATCATGTGAGGCTCACTCATACACCTAGATAACCCATCTGCGACATTGTTCTCTATCTTTGGTCGATACTATATCTCAAAATCATAACAAAAAAATTTAGAAAGCCACCTTTGATGCTCCTCTATAACCATCCTTTGCTCTAGAAGAAACTTTAAACTACTTTGATTAGTCTTAACAATGAAGTGTCGCCCCAACATATAGGTTCTTCACTTCTGGCCAGCACAATCGCCTTCAGCTCCCTCTTGTAAACTTACTTCAGCCTTGCCCTGACATTCAACACCTGATTGAAATATGCCAATGGTCTCTGGTCCTGCATAAGTACAACTCCGAGCCCATACCCCAAAGCATCCGTCTCCACCATAAAAGGCTGGCTGAAGTCGGACAGGGCTAACACTGGCATGCTGGTCATCTCCTTGTTCAACTCCTCAGAGGCCTTGGTAGCTGCTTTGCCTCAATTAAAATTCTTCTTCTTTAGTTGTTCGGTTAAATGCTAGGTTATTGAACTGTATCTCTTCACGAACTTTTTGTATTAGCCTATAAGTCCTAAGAACCCTCTCAACTCCCTCAATATATTGGGCCACCTCAGCACGGCCTCAATTTTGCTCTGGTCAGCTGTTACTCCTTCCCGTGATACCATGTGACCCAAATATTTTACTCTAGGCTGGGCGAATGACCACTTATTAACAAACAAGTGATCATCCAATAGAGTGGATAACACCAATCTCAAGTATTCTAAGTGTTCCTCCTCAGTCCTATTGTAAATGGAAATATCATCAAAGAAGACTGACACAAACCTCCACAAATATGGTTGGAATATCATGTTCATCAAGGACTGGAGAGTAGCTGGAGCATTAGTGAGGCCGAAAAACATTACTAAATGCTCATAGTGTCCCTCATGAGTCCTAAATGCCATCTTAGGAACATCCTCAGGCCTCATCCGGATCTGATGGTACCCTGGATTCAAATAAATCTTCGAGAAAAGCACCACTCCATAAAGCTTATCCAATAACTCATCAATCACTAGAATAGAAAAATTGTCTGGTAGTCTCCTTATTCAATGTCTGGTAGTCCATACAAAACTTTCAACTACCATTTTTCTTTTTCACTAATAGAACTGAACTAGAAAATATATTGACACTGGGTCGAATGATCAGTGCCTCTAGCATCTCCCTAATCAATCTCTCTATCTCATCCTTCTGGATTTGGGGATAATGGTACATAGGAACACTAATGGGTGAGACTCCTTCCTTTAAGATGATAGCATGCTCGTGTTCCCGTGGAGGATGCAACCCTTGAACTGGCTGGAACACCTCTCGATACTGCTGCAGGAGTGGATGAACCATGTCAGGTGCTTCTATCTTCTCCTCATCATTTTCTCTTTCCAAACTCTGCAACTCAACAAAAAATCTCACTCCTTTATCCTGGATTGCCCTCATCATGGTTTTGAGTGAAACCATAGTTTTGGACATGCTAGGATCCCTCTAATAACCACTCTCCCCCTCTCATGCTTGAACTCCATTGTTAGAGCCTTCCAATCAATCTTGGTCTTCCCCAATTTTTGCAGCCATGTAATTCCCAGTATTACATATTTGCTCTCCAAATCTAATGGCAAAAAGTCTTCCAATGCCTAAAACTTTTAAGGATTAAGATCACCCATTTGCAAATTTCTCTACTATCTACTATTCATGTTCCTAGCATAACTCCATATCCCCCCATGTCTACTAATTTCAGCCTCAACTGATCCACCATCCTGTTATAAATGAAGTTGTGGGTAGCTCCACTATCCACCTACCACATCCTGTTCTTGTATAAGAACGGTGTAAGATAGAAGAGAAGAAATGATCGAGTTGAGAGAAAAGAGAGAGATGTACTAATTCTCCCATATTTTTATAGTGGATTTCTTGGTGTGGAGTGGCTCTGTGTTTTCTTTTTTCTGTTTCGGATTTTTCATGTTAAATTCTGGTGTTCTTTATTTTTCGCTGCATTTCTATTTTTCATGTTTGTATTCGTTGTGTGGTTTACTTCCGCCCCCAATCATAACAGTCATACTTCCCTAAATAAATCTTCCAATTACCCCCAAAATCTGAATTCAAATTAGCCCTTTTTCCCTAGATAAACATTCATAATCCCCTCCCAAATTTATTTTTCTATGAAGTAATTAAAGGTAGAATTAATTTCCTTTGAGCCCCTCTCTCTCCTTGCCCGCTGCCCACACTAGTGGGGCCCACAGGACTCTTCTGCTTGCTAGCTAGATCGGCCCCCCTTGCTGGGGTCCGGTTTATTGGCTGGACCGGCTCGGACAGTCCAACAGTTTGCAAATGCTCTTACTGGATGGTTTTATACTTTTAACGTGAAACCCTTTGGTGGTTGGAATTCTGAGGGACCTCTTTTGTGGTTTTGATATGATGGTTCTCTTTTTTACTTTGTATTAAATTGCAATATGATGATCTCTAGGTCTGGCTCTAATATTCTTTTGGTATCTATGTTCTTTACATTGGCGAGTTAAAAATATGTTCCCTTCTCAAAAGATGTTCAGAAGCCCTTTCTTTTCTGGCATGAATTGTTGATCTTCTTAGACATGTCTCCTATCGAATAGTTGATTTTGGAATATGTTTTTCCTTAATTTCAAGAGTCTCTTATGATTTCGCCCTATAATTTCCTTTTTGTAGGTAGATGAAACACTAGCGGTTTATCTTGAATACGTCTCAGGAGGTTCTATCCACAAGTTACTTCAAGAATATGGCTCTTTTGGAGAACCTGTTATCAGAAATTATACTGCACAGATTCTTTCTGGGCTTGCTTATTTGCATGGGAGAAACACAGTGCATAGGTATTGCTCCTAATTGCCAATCCTTTTCTAAGCCACAGAGTTATTTTATTCATCATCATAGCTATATTTTTTTAACTTTTTATAACTGACTGCAACTGGTTTTTTTTTTTTTGACATAAAAGGGATATTAAAGGGGCAAACATACTTGTGGATCCTAATGGTGAAGTCAAGCTTGCTGATTTTGGCATGGCTAAACATGTATGCTCGTTAATCATAACTATTTCCATCTCATGCATACATACTGATATAGGATGACTTAGGGCCATGATTGTTAATACAATTAATATGATGTTTAGTATGCTTTCATGTAAAGAAAAATTGAGGATTCATAGCTCACAAGTTGTTAATTAATCCAACAACTCATTTTTTTTAAATGAAATTCGACAGTTTAAGCCCAATTGACAATAAAATATCAATAAATATGTGAGAATTTCAAAAATAATTTGAAAATAAATAAAATTATTGGGTTGGCAAATTGATTTTCACAAAAATCAAAATTTCTATTTTTCAATTTATCACTTTTTGACTAACATCAAGATTACTTAACTAATCAATAATAATTATGTTTAAGAAATAGACAAGGGACAAAATTATCAAAGAAAAATCATATCTTGTGTTGTTACAAGGAGATGATTTCGCCTAGATTTACTCATAAGATTGAAACTAAAATGTGAAATTTTATGAGTCAAGAGTTCTTAATTATATGCCTCAACCTTTATAAACTCCTCATAATCTAGGCTAGGCATAGGACAGTTCTAATTGAAATTTAAATTAATTCCACTTGTCAAAAATATTTCCAATTTAATTTTTAAAGTTTCAAATCAACTAAACTGTCCCACCATGCAAATAAACCCAATTCTAAGGACACCGAGCACACAAGCTTTTATGTGATTTCCATGATTTCCACGTTTCGCAGGTGAAACACACAAGTCAAGCCATTGGAGGCGGGACCTCATTGAAATGAGACCACATAGGCCACAATTTCAAAATTCCCAGTGTGGGCTTTTTAACTGCTTTTTTTAGTTGGAAAATGCCAGAGACCACCACATTATAACACTGCCTAAGAAAGTCCTGCATCGCATGCTTTCGCATTCATATTATAATGAATAACCTTCTTTCACAGTGTTTAACTCGTGAGCCCAAAACGATGTCACTAACATGCATGTATACATGCACGCGACATGATTCTGTCATATTGAAATTGGTACTGTCATAGGTGATCTTGGAGAGGCTGATGTGTCTTGGAAGTAAAAACAACAAGTAGATCTGTAGATAGGAAGAAAATTGTAGAAATCAAGTATTAGGACTGATTTTTGGATTCTCTCTTCAATAATAATGAAAGATATAAGTGATTTACTGTTTGAGAGATAAATCAGCTCTCCCACATATCCTAGACGCCGCTAGGAAAATCACAACAAACCATAGAATAAATTTCAGCAAAATATAATTTTCAAATCCTAGACCAAACTCCCCTTTAAATAGCCCTAACACACAATTCACACAATTAAGACATTTCTAAATAGCATAAACACAATTAGAAAATTTTCATAAACAATTAAACCATTTCTAAACAACATAAATACAATTAAAAAACTTTCCTAAATAATTAAACCCTTAATAAACAACATAAACACAAGCAAGAAATCTTCCTAAACAACTCTCCCTTGATTAAGAACCTTCCTAAACAATTCTCTCTTGATCAAGAACCTTTATAAATAATTCTCCCTTAATTAGGAACCTTAGGATCCTTCCTAGATAGCTCTGCTTTGATTAGAAACCTTCCTAAACAACTCCCCTTGATTAGGAACCTTCCTAAACAGCTCACCGTTCATGGCTGTGGGCCCCCCGGTGTATCAAAGGCTTAAGCTGGGCAATTATGCGGTGAGAGCCGGCCAGTCTAACCATTCCATTGCTAGTAGTATATTGGCCTTAAAATAACCAATTCATTGCATGCAGCCGTACACACTCCAATTTGTCAAAATTAAGCTATCATATAGTTCAATTATGCAAAAAAAGTATTCTTTGACTTTCTTTTGATAATTTGTTGCTGTGTCTATAAGACTGTTTCAGCGTTGTTATCTCCTAACTTTTGTTCAACTGTTCTCTTTCTCTCTATTGCTATAGATATCATCCTATACTTCAATACGATCTTTTAAAGGAAGCCCATACTGGATGGCTCCTGAGGTAATAATATGTCAGATAGATGTTAAGCCTACAACCACCATTTGCAGATAATACTAACCGTATATCTTTACTATTTCTAATCACAATGATGAACAATTTCTATAGGTCATCATGAATGGAAGTGGATACAATCTCTCGGTGGATATTTGGAGCCTCGGTTGTACAGTACTTGAGATGGCAACTTCGAAACCTCCATGGAGCCAGTTTGAAGGGGTGCGCCATTTATTTTTTAATGTATGACTGTTATTTGTTTTATTATTGTATGGAAAAAAAAAAACTTTGATTTTGTTTTTAATTGGCAGGTAGCGGCAATATTTAAAATTGGCAATAGCAAGGATATACCAGCTATCCCAGATCATCTTTCTTCTGAAGCAAAAAGTTTTCTTAGATTATGTTTGCTTCGTGATCCTTCAGCAAGACCTACAGCGGCCCAATTGATGTATCATCCTTTTGTGTGTGATCAATCTACAATAAAAGCTACTAAATCAAGTACGATGGACATGCTTTCTACTTCATCTGATGGAACCTATTCAATGGTATTGTAGCTCCAAAACTTACAAAATTTCTCTTAATTACTTTTGTATCTGAAAAGAAGAAACTACAATTCTAGTTTCATTCCATTTTTTGTACTCATTTGAGTGATTTTCTATCTTTATAGAAATTTGTCAGAATTCATTGAACCCTGAAGTTTTTCATAGAAGTTTATTGGCGTCAAAGTTGGTCATTTTAAATTAGTTCTGCAAGAGTTTATTCACTGAACATTTTGTGATTTTTGGTTGAACCAAACGTCAAATAATTTCTTTTATCCCAATTTTTGACAAAATTTCTGCACGAATATGATAATGTTATGAAATTTGTTATCTGAATACGCTACAAATGATTGAATAAGATTACAAGAATTGGTGGCATGGACTCTTCTATTGAATTCTGATCTTTGCCTTTCCCTTCTCTGTTCATTCTCATGCAGGATAAAGGTTTTCACATCAACAAAAGTGCTTCTTCTTTATTTGAAAAAGATTATGGAATTGGACGCCCGGTTACCAACATCCTAGTTCATAAGAATCCAAGGTATCTCCATCTACGACATGAATTAAGCAAGATGCATCCTTTTTCCTTCTCGATTTATTTCTAAAACCTTTTGTATGTCTCAGTTGTAGTGATCTTACGGGCATGAGAGCTAACATGTCATTACCTGCCACTCGCTGTTCAAGTCCTCTTCGGCAATGTAAACAATGCAATCGAAGCTGTCTCCCTTCTCCTACCCACCCGGTATTGTCGGCTGGAGCTCACCAATCAAGGCCGAGCAACCTCCCAGATTATAGTCTGGATATTGCAGAGCTCAAAAACCAGTCACCCTATCACTGGCAAAGAAGATGAGAAGTATGCATCATGTGCATTTTTCTCTTAACTTCGATAGGCTGCGCAAGAACAATTCTTTTAACTTCTTTAATGGATTCTGCGGAAAGAATTGCACTCAACTGCAGAACCTGCTCACCTTCACATCAGTCATGTGGAAATCATTTTGGATGGCAGAACGGTGGGTTTGATCTTCTTTGTTTTTCTGTTATAGTACCTGACAATGCATTGCGTAAATTTTTTTTTTTTAAATGCATTGTGTGGATTTTTTTCTTCTTTTAACAATGCATTGTTGGATTCAGTCATTGTACATAGTATATTTAGAGTTATAGCCCATTATGTATATTTGATTGTTTGAATGCTATAAATATTTGTTTTTTTTTTTAAGAAAAATGGAGAAAAATAATGAATTTTTGTTTTTTGGGTTATGTGGTTCATGATAGATTGTTGTTGATCAATGCACTTTAAAAACCCACCTGAATAATGGAAGACGTTAAATTTTATCATAAAGGTTTTCCTTTTTATGGATTAGGCTAAGAACAATGTTTATTATAGTAATGATGTTGATGTTTTTCAAAGGAGCAAGCTTCTGAAGTTAATTATTTATAGAACATGATTGAGAAAATTCTTCATTCAAGGAGCTTGTGTTCAATTCAATGTTGAGAGAAGAGTGGGGTGTTACATGGCCATATGTAACAATGTGTTAAATGGCTTAGTATTTGTATGGAAATTTAGCACTGATAATAAAATGTCAAAGAGATACTAGAGTTTTCATGAAAAAGAGAAAACTCGTAAGATTTGGCCTAGGTAAAATTATTCTACTAGAGTTTGTCTTCAGTTACCAAAGATGTTCTTTCCAAACTTTCAAGAATGTACGTGTTCATAAAATATAGTAGACATAGATTATATTAGAGTTGTCATTGATGACGTGCATTGGCTTTATAGGTGATGATGCTCGTTGATGTTGTTGATGATGTGAGTGACAAAATCAATGATAGATAGAGCCAACTAATGCCAGTGATCGGGGCGTAGTAGTCAGATGGTGGTGTTCAAAAGATAATAAGAGGGTGATAGTCATCGGGATATCATAGTTGGGTGATAGTAGTTGCGTGATCATAGTAGGGTGAATGAGGTTAATTGGATGGGTTGCAATCAGGTGAGGAGGTTAGAGAATCATAATTGAGCAATGATGATATAGGGCCATAATCAAATGATGTTGGGTTAAAGGATTGTAACTAGGGAATGTTTGTCAAGGGACTATAAATTGGATATGGTGTTCAGAGAATTGTTGTTGGGTGATATATAGTGGTCGAAGGATCGTTGTCGGGTGGTGATGGTTGGGAGATTATAGTCATGTGAAGGTCGCTAGATGACTATATTCAGGCAACCGTAGCTCGAAGATCATAATCAGATGACGGTCTCAAATGACTTTGGTCAATTGACGGTGGTTGGTGCTAGTTTTTGTGGAATTTGATTGTTTGTGGAATTTGATTGACTTGATCAATCAGGTTGCACTGTTGACTCAGATCTTACTCTCGTAGGTAACATTCATGTTTTTGCTTTCGTTTTTAGGTCTAGGAAAGAGTAATGGTTGTGTAGTTTTGAATATCATGCTCAAATATGTGCTATAGATATGCCTTTTGGTTTGACTAGTTTATTTTGCAGGCTTGAATTTTATTTGGTTTTATTGTTTGTTGTCAAGTGTTGTTTGTAGATAAATCTTATATTGTACATATATTTTTAAATGATATATAGAAATCATTGTTGATATTCAATAATCTTCTGCTTTATATTGTATTTAGAATATAGTGACTCTGTATAGTATATAAATTTGAAGTTTTATTTCAATACTTTTCTAACTAGATCTTATGGTCTGCTTGTCACAATTGGACACGGTATGGTACGATCTGTGTGTTATTGGATCATATTAGGTCGGATTGAGAGAGAGAGAGAGAGAGAGAGAGAGTCAAATAAGGCTTTGTTTATGCTTGGTTCATTAAGAAAACAGCTGAAAATAATTATTTAATATCAAATTCCTTATTTAACAAATGTATAGGACTCGAGCTTCTTAGCGAGCTCAACTCGAGTTGTTCACAAACGATGGGCTTTTTTGATAGCCATCGTTATTAGAACTCAAATTTAGATTATTTCGACATTCTTGAATCCATCCTGTCTAAAGATACTGCTTCAATAATAATTGATATATCATCAAAAAAATTTCTTGATCAGGCATGAATCTTGAGAAAAAATCTAGTTGGAATCTTTCGAATTAAATTTAGAATCATTTGAATTCCGATTTTAGAAAATTTATAGTCGAACTAAGCATCTCAGAATTACGAACCCAATGACACCAAATTCGACTCAATCCGAGCCCAAATGGGTCCAAATCGAAGACCTATAGTATATTTGGAGATTTCAAACCATAAATTGGACAACCAAACGATTTTCAAACATGACATGCTTATAGTCAAATCGAGCGGCTCGACAAGACGAATCCAACGATCCCAAGATTGTCAATTTCTGACATCACTAAGGCATTCAAATGTACATTAAATGATCTACAATCAAGGGAATCAACATTAGCCGTCCATTCAAACCACTCCCAACTTACCCTTGATCTACGCCCTATTTACTGGCCATGCCACTCTTAGAAAATTATAAATGGACCCCTCATTCCTCATGGAAAGGGCCCAAAAGAGGGACCAAGCAAGGAGGGAAAGAAAAGAGAAGAGGAAGAGAAATTAGAGATCTCTCTTACCACCAAGCTCCTTGTCAACCATCTCCCGGCCACCAACTGTCATTGGACTGACATCAGACTTTCGCCAGGCCAACGACTGATGCCGAAATTATACTTGGCCGCCAAATGACACCAGACTTCTTCCCGGCCACCAACTGACATTGGACTTCCACCCCGACAACCAACTGATGTTGAACTTCTTCCCGTCTACCAACTAACGTTGGACTTCCATTTGACTTTCAATTATTATTGGACTTATACCCGGCCTCCAACTGACACCTAACTTCTGCCATGTCATCAACTAACACCGGACTTACACCCGCCACTAACTAACGCCAAACTTCTGCCCGTCAACCAACTGATGTTGGACTTCCACTTAACCTCCGACTACGGACCTTTCAACCTCTGTCGCCCGACTACGGTCATTCCGACATCCATGACCCAACTACAGTCTTTCCGATCTCCGTTGCCCGCCGACTTTGATATTTCCGACCTCCGTCTCCAATTGACTATGGTCCTACTGACCAAACAAACACATCAATTATGATTCTTCCAATTCTCATCATGTAATGCACTCTATATGATATATATTTGTTATATCAAGCCAAAGCCTTCCCCTGAGGAAGGGCCTCATTTGTAACTGACTGCAAGTACTAGTGGATTCATTCAAATTGGGCTAGGCCCCGTGATTTTTCTCCCTTTTCATGGGTTTCCACGTAAAAACTCTGGTGTATTTTATGAACGCTACACCCTCTCTTGTATCTGATTGTGTGTTGGATCTTCGTACAAAGCTAGAATACTAAACTTTATATTTCATTACCATCATGAATATTCCAGGACGCAACTATAACATTATTTGTTTAGATCGAAATCTAATTAGCTTTTGTAATAATTTTTGAAAATTTTGAATTAATGTTGGAGAGAATTCTACATTTTGCATAATGTATGTGCTTAACTAAATTTATTTTAAAATATCAATGAATGTACTTTTTTGTTTTACATTTTTATTCCCAACTCCGACAAAATATAGGAAGAAAATTTTATTATATCGCCCCTGAAACCCATATGCATGGAAGATTTTTTTTTGCTATCAAACAGAGTTAATTATTGTTTAGATTAAATATTCCTTGCCAGGTCTTCGTCAGTATACACCAAACAAAAAGTTTCGTATGCATTCCACCGCAACATTCGGGTTTTTTCTTTCTCATCTGCTTAACATGTCAATACTTCTTTGCTATTAAAAAAGACCAGGAGATCGATAAGACTATAGCATATTCTAGCTTTTCATTAATCTGCTACTGGTAAATTACTTTTGTGGATAACTTACTGTACATGTAGGAAACAATGAGGTCAGGCTGTACATAAATATAATCATCATATTTAATTACAACTAGGTAAAGCTGCTTTGAATAAATGTCAAAATATATAAATATTGTGGTTAGTTGGAGATCGTAGTATCAGTACTCAAGCTATATATAGTTAGCTGCTGGTAGCTACCTGTTGCAACTATATTTGAATAGTCTTAAATATATAAAGTTCAGTCGTCGACGTTGCAAACTAGAATTATGATGACAGATTAAAGAGCGCTAGTTGTATGCGCGAGCTTAGATTTTTTTTGGTATAAATTTTTTTTTGTTTTCTTATTTTTAAGCTAAAAAATTACTTTAAAATAATAAAAAATCGTCCCAAATGAAGTCTTAGGCTTAGGCTTCATTTGGGACCGCTTTCATCCTGCTTCTTAAAGCGATTTTTTAGTGCAAAAATTAAAATTTTGGTTTAAGAAACAGTAAGAAAGCCGCCCCTTAGGCTTCTTTTAGGGTAGTTTTTTTATTATTTATTAAAGTAGATTTTTAGTATAAAAATTTTAATTTTTTACTAGAAAATTACTTTAAGAAACAATAAGAAAGTCATCTCAAACAAAACCTTTATCTCGTGGTTCAGAGCTTCAGCTTCATCGTAGAGTAGCAGCTCCAAATTTTATAAAAACAGGTGATTTTTAACATCTTAAGTATTTTAAACGAACGGCATTGGATAAAATATCTGAAGTATTTTATCGATGTGCTTAACTCAGTTATTATTTAAAAAGGCTTTTACTGTCGTTCAAAAGCTGCAAAACAAAAGAAAATTAGCAATAATCTGGAAGTATTACTATTTTCTAATCCCATATGATTATGCACTGCAGCGGCAAAGGATGCCAAAGCAGATTAATTTCAATGTTTTAGTATAGATATCGCTCAGGATTTCATTGCAGCTGTTTTGTTTAAATCTGTTTGTTAAATGATTCAAATGCGTTTCAACAAGTTCTATTGTAAAATAATTGAATAATAGGCGTGCCTCCAGGCCAGCAGCTATGGTTTGCGAGAAATTATTCTGTGCAGAGGCCGGACGTAGCTCTACGTTTGGAGGCGAATCAGGTGGAGCTATGTAAGCGGTACCGAGCTGCAGTACCGAGCGAAGGGGTGCGTGACACATTCTGGTTGGTCTCCGGATGACGTTCGGCGTCTGCACAAAATAATTAATCATGATTTGCAGGGAAAGAAGAGAGAAAATAAAAGTGATCAGGCGATGAACATCCTTTATAATGATTTAAGCCGTTGTTACACGTTCAAATGGTTTGCAGGAACAAAAACAGTAAAGTAAAAAAGAAGTGATTTGGTGTTGAATTGTTGAACGTTATTTAGTGG